TCGTACGCACAACTTAAGAACAAATCTGTGCGTACGAACGGTTCTTGCATGAGGCCCAATGTTTCTGATAAATAATTGTACGATTACCTGATAGCATTAGCACCCTGCTCCGGCTTCTTGATGATGTCACTAAACTGAAGAAACAAAMAATACTCGTGAGAACAAAATCTGCCGAGAAGAAAACAGTTGTTTGGTTTCACTTTGACTGCAGTGTCCCTCCTGGTTTGAACTCTGACCTCCAAGGATTTGAGCTTGGACCCATCTTGAACAATGATGATGGTACTTCGACTGCCACCTGGTAGACTGACCTCATCGAGATAACTGGAATCCACAGTTAGATGAAATGATTCTTTAAATGTCATATAATCCTGGTTTGGAAGAAAGGAGAAACTTTTAGTGAAGTCCTTCAAACCAAGGTTATGTGAGCTGGTTTACAGGTGCAGTAAAACCAGTTATCAAGTCCACAACAGACTATTTTAAAGCTTTAAAAAACGTTAAGACTACCAAACGTAATTCATTGTAAAGTGCTGAACTAGATATTTGTTGAGACAATTATTTTTCAATAAAATATATTTAAAAAATGTAGAATATGACATTTTTTTTACTAGCAAATCCCATTGAGATCACAGATCTCTTTTTAAATGAAGGCCTAAACCAGTTATACAAGCAGGGCACCACGCCCTGCTTATCAATCTGTGTTCTCATGCTCGTACCGTGAAATTATCCAGCTTAAACGTATGGAGTCCAGCTTCTACAGCTAAGGACCTGTTAGCCATGTTGATGAACTTTGCTTGGCCCTCAGTGCTCGATGGGAATTTAGGTAGAGTGTTCTGGAAGAAGAAACAAACACACACACTTCATAAGTTTCACGTGTGTTCAGGTTCTTTTACGCACGTGTGTTTTACATACATCAATCTTTATCTGAACCAGGGCAGCCGACACAAAGGCAAGAGCAGCAAGGAACATTCCCACGGTCATCCTCTTTAATGGACTGTAGAGTGAAACGTAAACACACGTTAGACGTTTAACTGATATTTTCATCCTCCAAGAGAAGCTCTTTAACGCACAGGTAGGCAGCAAAAATATTCACCAGAAGTGGTGAATATTTACTCCACTCAGCTAACAAAAACTGAGCTTCACAAACCAGTAAACAAGTCAGAAAATTTGTGGAAGCTAAYGCTAACTGATAACAGAAGCTAATTGGTCTGCCTTCGTTTTCCAAAGTTAGCTTTACTGTCTGCAAACACGCTAACTAAAAAAAAAATWACTTTTTTCAAATGCTAAGCCACTAAACAGATAAGGAAATTAACAGAAGCTAATGCTGACGGATAACCGCTAACTCAAGGTCTGTCATTTAAACATAGACGTATCCACAGAGATGTCAGAGTCTTGGCTATAAGCTCAGAAAAATCATTTCCAAGTCCAACAAACAGGTAAAACTACAAGCAGTTGATATGACAAGTGAACAAATRGCATAAAATGATGTTTATTTGCAGAACTAAATGTTAGCAATAATGCTAATCCACTAATTGGAAGTTTAGCGTCGCTAATTTTCCAATTAGTGGATTGAAAGCTGTGTTTATGATTAAAAACTGTGCCCATTACTGACATTCATAATAACCAAATGTCAAAATACAGACACAGAACTTTCTTAGCTAAAATAATGCACTGCAAAAAATGTCCGTGTAACCAAGTTTTAAAATCTTATAACAGCCAAAAAGTCTTTTTGATCTTGTTTTGAGACTGATTTACTA